CTCCACCTTCCTACCCACCCCTTTAACAACTACCCCCGGTGTGGACAAAATCCCTGCAGAATCCCTGAAGAAACAAAAACACTCTTGAAACTATGCCATTGTGTTCACATGCTCACAGCTCATCCACTCAAGTCTCATGTTATGCAGCACAGTGACGCTTCCCATGCACCCTGGCAGTGAATTATACGCAGGTACCTCATCGAGGGTGCAGCGATGGACAAGTAATGGGACCAATGGCCTCAAAGGAGCGCTAATTATAGATAGGAATGAGGCCTAGGACTTCTCTTCGCACCCTGCTTGAGTAATGCTGCTTGAGGAGACCATTTTCTCTCTGACGATTAAACTGCAAGAGGCTAGCTACCCTTTCCTACTTCTCAATATGTACCTGCTAGCTCCACCAGGTAGATATACCTCCTAGCAGCAGTGTGCTAGGACAGTAATGAAACAGGTGACAGGCCCAATAATATTTCCAAGACTTACTAGAAGTCACGAAGTCAAATTACCAAGAACACAATAATTATCAGAGTGTACACAAAAATATGAAATACTGGTACAGTGTGCACTTACAAAGCTAAGTGATCAGATAACACTGACTGACAGCTTTGCTGAGTGTTAAGTCAGAGTGTCCGTACCTTTAGAGATAATTTTTTCAAATGTAATTTAGCTATTACAAGCACTAAACAATGCACTAGAAAATGCGCAAAGTTGTTTGAAAAAAATTACACAGGTGATACAAAATTTAAAACAGAACTCCAACTTTTATTTTATTTTTCTTGAATATTTGGATAGAAAATTTTTAACGCCAAGTAAAATGATCACTATTTTCTAAATGAAGTGCTTATATTGCACTAAGCATTTTGTAGGGTTAGATAAAAACTCAAAGAGTCAGAAACCTTCAGAAAGATAATGTTGGCCTTTGTCCAGAACTCATTTCATGGGAAAACATAACCTTTAACAAAATTTTCAAAATACCGAAAATTAACTGGTCATACGTTTTACGTGAAAGAAACTTGACCGAAAAATGTAGCCTAGATACAAAGCACAAAAAATTCTTTCCCTCGGATGCACAAACACAGCGGGCAATAAAAATATTTGCATCGTCCTTAATCAAAAAGAAAGGTGAGAGTACCTGAAAACACTGGGATCACGGACTCGGAGACGGCGATAGTTTTCTGCACCAAATACTCCAATTTTTGGGGTTTCCACACAAAATCACTTCACTTGGATGCACACGGCACTTGTCACTAGACACGGCACATCCGCCACCACCTCAACGAACGTACACAAATTATTTCGCGAGACAGCTGCACAAGTACTCACTCGCACAAGTTCGAAAACAAACTGTCTCCTCCTGGCTGCGGCTACGCTCGGCGCAGCTCGGCGCCAGTTGGTACCGCCTTCGCTCCCCTGCCATGAGCAGTGCTGCCAACTACGGAGTAAAGACGCCTCTGCCCTCTAGCGGCCGATGAAGTTAGCTAGTAAGCGCGCCAAAATTTGACACTGGACACCAAGACCACGTCATTTTTGCTATTTTTGGAAGGATATTTGGAAAAACTATTTAGTTCGGCTATCTACTTGCCAAAGAATATTGGAACAAAAAAGGTCAAATCGTATGATACGAACACAAATTTATTGTCTGTTATTGTTGTAAAATTAAATTAAATCAGATCGCAACTTCATCTTCTGGATGTCTACATACACTTGGCACTTTCCACTTTTGAATATAAGAACTTGATCATGTAGTCACATTGCTTGAGTAGAGTCCAGTTATTTGACTCCCTTACTTTATCATAATATTCTCCACCTGGCATAAACAAGGAGAACTGACTATAAAACCATAAAGTAAAGGTGTGAAATTTCAAATTTGGTGCTAGTACTTACCATATATTAGTTTTAAGGGAACTAATGACAAAACAGCCTCATGATGAGCTAGTGAACAGTCACTGAGAACTTTCTCAAGATGATCTCTTACACTCCTAGGGTAGCTCTTAAAACTGTAGAAAAAAATAGAATTTCTTCCCAAGTTAGAGAAAGAAAATCTTACCTGAAATGAAAATACAAATTATTAATCATTATCTTACGTGCATAACACAACCAAATTATAGTTTGTCTGAGATATCGCTCCACCTTATCAAATAGGTGTCCTAATAAAAAAATAATGCTGGTATTGAACTCAGAGAGCATTGGGAATCCCCTTAATTCTAGAGATTCCCCTCTCCAAGTATCTTCTAGAGCACTGCAGATTCTTAACAGTGACTCTATTTGATAGTCTCCATGGTTTTCAATATGCATCCACAGTTCTTTACCAAAGTCTAAAACTTTTACCTCCACAGGTGCTTCTGCCCATGAGTACTCTTTCAAACTTGTGACAATATTTTCATTACTGTCTAGATTCAAACTGCATTCAAGGTGGAAGAAAAAGAAATAGAATCTTGAACTAATAGAATTGATTAACTCATAAAACAAACTAGGATTACAAACCACGACCCCCTTCTTATGTCATCGTCTGTCAGCTGAAGTGTTCTCTGAAAAATTCCAGAAAGTTTTATCTGCGCAGAGAGGAGTTGCTTCAAGCAGAATTGTGTGACATCCATTTCAGAGTATCCTTTGGAGGATTTTGGCACAATTTCCAGCATCTGCTTTATTGGACTGTCCGCAGAAAACTGAAATATCAAAATTTTCTATGAGTAAAGCATCAGACACATGAAATCACAGTAAGTTGCAAAAGAAAATAATACATCAAGTTGAAGAGTCATGTCTTTACTGTCTTCTGGATTACTCAGAACTATTTGATTTAAAAAGGATTTTAGATCATCTAGTTCATTGATTAGTTTTTTACAAGTTATTAAGCATCTTCCATTCATTTTACAAGAATGACAGATGATATTGTTATTCTGGTCAGGAGCAATATCAAAAACATCCTCAAAACCCAGATTCATATTTGGTGTAATTCCAGCAATTTGATGTGCTGCCTGAATGTTATGAAGAATGTCTACAACTTCATTTCTTAATTGAACACAGTTCAAAATTGCCAGATATTTGGAAAATGTATTATCTAGAATGAGATGGAAAGGTAAAATAGCTATCATAAAAATCTTAAAGAATGCAAAAAACATTCCACAAACATTTTTAAAAACACACTCACAGCAACAATTGTTAGTAGCAGAACTAAAGGATTTGTTCTCTTGGTTGCCATCAGTCAGTGACTTACAAATATTTTGGAAACGATTTTCGAATGACATTGTCCATTTTTGATACCCATAGAACAGCAGTGTGGCAGTCTGTTTTGGTGGAACCATACCAACCTGTGAGTAAAACAGAATTATGACAAAAGAGAAAAAAAAACTTAATAATAAGAGTTAGAGCGTACCATACTAAACAGCTGTCCAATGATGTATAAAACGTTGATGCAAACATCTGAGGTCAAGGGAAAACTATTTAAGACAAGGCAGTCATCCCGCCACAAATCTCTTACTACATTGATCACTTCTACAATGGCTGTTTGAGTATCAGTAGACGACACCCATAACTTTCTCACGTCTGCTATATTCTTCTCAGGCCATTTCACATTCACTGACGAGCTAACAAATATTTTTCCATTATTTTTTAAATTTATAAAATGAATTAACAACCAGTAGGAAATGGAGAGACCTTTAAAACTTACCTTGAGTGTGGCAATGACTGGCAAACATTGAAATTTTTTTGGCTTATCTCCAGTAATTTGGTTTTCAAGTTCTGAAGTTCAAACAATTTTAATTCATTAATGTCCACCTGCCCAACGAGAGCATCTGTTCGAGCGTCATCGTCATCGAGCTGCGGAAAAAAGACAGATAAAAATATAGAAAACACCAGACCAACGAGCGTAACTGAGGTGTAAACAAAATCGTGTATTGTATACGGCCAAATTGCGCACCTTCAGCCATACTACATCTGTGGAGGGCCAGTGCACGTTTTTCAAAGAATCGCAAATTCGTTGCGCCTCGGCGACGTCAACCCCAAGGCTCTTGAGGGACATGACGCGAACAATCTATCAGATTCCACAACTCTTCTGCCCTTCATCCACCCTGTAACCTGCTTGTCAGCGGCGTCCCTCGTCCCTGTCGGTTTCAGTGTCACTGTCGTTGTCGTTCACTTCAAAAATAAATGAGCTCTGGGAAAGTGAAAAGGGGTGGTGGGTGGAGAGGGGAGAAGGAGGGGTGTGGAGGGGGGCGGCAACCAAGGAGCACAGCATAGCCACCTGTTGCATCTTGCAAGAAGGGGGTGTTGTCGTGGTGTTGTGCTTGAGAGCTTGCGGCTGATCCGCTGCGAAATGCAAATTACTTTCCAAAACTCCGACTGGAATCGGAACAATATTTGTGAGCCTATCTATGGTTAGCCATCGTCGCGTCCCACACGACGCCTGTCGACAGAAGGGTAGGCAGCCCATTCTACACCATCTCAGTACAAGTCGAGACACTTCCAGTACCGTCCGAATTCAAAAGGCCAAACTGAGACGATCTCTCTCTTCCCAGTCCCGTTTCATACTGTTTGGAGAATATTAAGGAATTTCCCTATCTAATGGATTGCCCAGACTTATGACGTGAGCTATAAGTTGAACTCTTACCCTGTTCAGTGAAACCGAGTTAATTTGTTATCAAATTGTGTGGAGGATGGGGAGATAAAGAAAAAGAATTTTTGAACATAGAATCAGAATGCTGACAGGACTAGTTTAATGAAGAACTAGACATTCGAAACAAATTGGGTAATTGAAGATGTCAATACAACACACAAGAGGAATTGACATTTCAGTATGGTGTGAAAAATATAAAATGTCAAGCAAGTTTCAAATCAAGAAAAAAAAAATACTGAAGGAAACAATATTAATAATTGGTAAATCATTTTTAAAAGCAGGCAAGTATCTTATAACATGCTTAATTATAATCTATATTTAATTAACTGTTGCATAGCAACTTTCATGCAGAATACTATAAATTGAATAAGGGAGTTTCATTTATAAAAAAAAGTACGCTAAGAAAATAGGGAAAAGCAATCAGTTATTAACCTGATGTGTCTGCTCTAGGCAGTAGTCACATAGGACAATGTACAACTGTATTTTAAAATAGTATCACAGTAGCTAGTTTAGAGGAACGGACATTACTCATCTGTAGCCATTGTTTTCAAGAGATCTTTGATCTGCTCAACAACACACAAGTTGTTTATCTCAGTAACATATTTGTAGAAGTCACCATCTAAGAAAGATAAACAAAAATAATTTTAAGAAAATAATGATTAATAACGGCAAAAAAAAGCACGGAAATAATTTCTTCACTTACCCGAAAGTTCAGAAATTTGGACAACTGATAAGACAACTTCGCTCTCATGGTCCATAACAGAGACAACTTCATCCCAGTGATGTTTCATTTCAGGATTGAACTTTCTGTATTTGTAAAATAGAACTCTGATGTCCTGGCCCAAAGGCTTCACAAAGCCCACCTGCAAAAATAAGGTTTGTTAATAAACAGTATAATACATAAAAAGGTTAAAAAGTCAACCACTACGCATGTAGCATATATACATGTAATTACCTTCTCAAACAGATGACCAAGAAGATATACAAGCCCTACATTGAACTGGGTCAGGAGAGGATACCCTCTCAATTCCAGGCAGTCATCACGAAAAATCTCATTCTCAACAGCTGAAAGAATTTTTCTGCATGCATTTTTTTCATTAATAGCATTGCTCCCGTCTTCAAGAGATGCCCACAGTTCATTCTTAAAATCCAGAGTGAAAACTTTTCTTTTGGCCTGTTCTTCTGGTTCATCCGGCCACGGGATTTCTCTGTCATCACTGGAAAACAAAACATAAGTTAAAAGATTAGATTAAGAATATGTGCGCCAACATTTTCGGCTGAACAGAAGATACAATGTACAATACCATTGAGATGAACAGGGTGAAATTGTTCCTTTAAACTCGTAAGCAATTTCTCTGACTCTGTTACGAATTTTCAAAAGCCCTCCTAAACAGAACTTGGAGCTATTGACCTTCGAAATAGGTTTACCTCTGACAATCTTGAACCCATGAGGGTTTTGTGGAAACTGAAAGTTTCAAAAACAATTGTAGAATAGTTAACATAAAATTGAAACTAACTATTGGTGGTATTGACTTACATCTATCCAAAACACATCATAATCTCCAGGCCAAGCAACATTCAAGTGTAGGAGGTCATCATCCAGACACTTCAGTTCTTCTTGTGGGCTTAGTGTCATGCGTTTCTTTCTGTCGTTAAAGGATCCTTCCTCGGTCTTTGGATCAATGTTTGGTGTGGCAACATCTCTCAGCTGTCGTTTGTCAACCAAATATAAGTCTCTACTTAATTTCCGTACTTTATGCCTGGAAAAAAAAAAAAATAATATTTAAAAAGTAAATTGCACTATGTACAGATAATACGAGAAGAAAAATTCTTACCTAGAAAAAAAGTTGTCAGCTATCCTGTGCCTCATAGTAGCAGTAACATAATTATCCCTTTTTTGGGGAAACCGATAGGATCTGATATTTTCTTCAATCACATCAGTCTGAAGTTTGCGGAAAAAGTCAGCACAATTATAAACTTCATCCAGAAAACTGTTTGGCAAGTCTTCCAAGGGAAACAAAGCCTTTGTTGGGGCCTTCGGGCCATAGTTATTCAACAAGACATCTAACCAAGGCTTAGCTGTAGACAAGCCTTTGTATCCACAGCAAACAACATACACTTCTGAATTTCCTTCCTTACTTGTAACAGGTTTGTTTACTGTTACATTTTTGAACATGCAATTAAGTAAGTATAACAGACATATAGAAGACTGTTCATAGAAAGTGAACATTTTTATGAGGAAGCTACCTCCTGGAGCAAGCATGTGCAAGGCTGCAATAGTTTCACAGCTATGAAGCCACGAAACAATGTCTTCCTGTTCTGCCGGATTGTTTTGGCAGTCAATACTTCCATCCGCAGTGACGAGAAGAATTTCTTCCAGCTCAGAGGACTTTTCAATGATATCCAGAAGATTCTCCTTGTTCATCAAGTCTCCTGTGTTGTCTTTTCCAAAAAGCCACTTATCTAAAGTTTTCAGTATTAGACGGTCATCATTGATCATACAGGAGAGAGGATTACCTTCATAGTATGGATTTAATGTGACAGCTCTCCAGTCAAACTTGAAATCATTGCCATAATTCACATGAAGGAAATGATTCAATGATGTGATGAAAGCTCCAGGTGCCTCACACAAGTGAATTGAGTTGAGACACTTCTGATCAACAGCCTTTTGAGGGACCAGGGGAAAAGCGGACGCATTCTCATAAAATTTGCACCAAGCTTGGGTTGGAAGTTCAGGATCAATTTTTTTCCGCAACTGCCAAATGACATTCCCGGCCTTGTTGCGACGTCTTGTATGTGAATGCCAGTCCTGAAGGGGAAAATCATTTAGCTCATCTTTAACAGCATTTAGACTCTGCTTCAGTGAGATAAAATCATCTAATTTCCACACGTCTGATGAAAACAGCACATCTGGATCTGGTAGCTTCCAGTCGGCAGACTGAAACTTATAACGTTTTGAGTAGTACATATTTGTCATTTCTTCAAAACTGGCATCTGCCCTTGGTGAATCAACTGCCTTGCGCTTCATGTTGTTTGGAGTACCAAAAGATGTAGGAAGTCCCATTGCAGACATATTAGTACTGTCCTCCCACTTGTAGCTAGGACTTACTGAAGCTGCACTCTCTTTCTGAGCAAAATTGCAACTTGACTTCACCGGATACTTTAAAGAAGATGCAGAGAAGGATGCTTTCCAGCTTTCTACAATCTTTTCTGAAGATTCTGAACTATCAAGGGCTTCACTTGAATTACCTAATTTGGGAACAGGAGACAAACAGCTACTTTGGCTACTCAGGGAAAGTGAGTCATCTGTTCTCTGACTGTGGCTGAGTGAGCTCACACCAGAGGAGCTATCAGATAGAATTGATTCAGACATGGTATGGTTTAATCTGCGCAAGTGTTCAGGGACAGCAATTAAAGGAATTGGTTGAGGAACAGGTTGTCCGGGATTCAAGCAGATAATTTCATCATCAATTGTGAGAATTGATGATTGATCAAAAGAAACATCACTTTCTGAGTGACGATCAAAGCTTTCAACACTGGAATTATTTTTCTTGGCCATGTCAACTGAGGAAGGAATTGATTCTTGCTCATCACTGTCGCTGCAGACTGATGTATCAAGTGAGGGCAGCGGGGTGCTACACAGAGGTGAATCCACACCTGAGTCTCGATCCTGATCCTGTTCTTGATGCCTTGATGCATGTGTGCGGAATTTCCAGTAATTTTGACTACCTTTAAAATTGTTTCTCACATAATTGGTCTGCACTGCATGCTTCAACTGTTCTTCACAGCTCTTCAATTCATTTCCACAAATCTCATATGAGTGCTTCTCCTGAAGGGGCAGACAACATGGTTCTTCAGCGCAAGGTATGGATGATGCAGAACTACTTGATTTAAAATTTAAATTAGATTTACTAGAAATACTATAACCATCCTCAATGATAGGAGAATCATATCTTTGAGGAAGATTATCAGAAAATGTAACTCTCTTCTGTTCAGAAATTCTAGATTTATTCCTATTCAAAGAAGAGGGAAAATCAGAAGTGAAAGAAGCTGGGGCAAAAGAAGCTGTAGTATCAGGCTGGTGACTATCCACACTTGGTGGTGATATGATTCGGAAATTATATTTAGAGGGCAAGCTCTCAGCAATTTTCTCTCTCTTCTGATCTAGTCTGTGCTGAGCCCTCGTTTCAATCGATGTTAAAGGCGCAGATGTGCCAGCTGTGCTTCTATAGTTGGTGCCATTTCTCCTAGTTGAAGACCTATGTCCTGTGTGGACAAAGGCTGCAGGACGTTGACAGCTGTCTTCAAGAGTCAGTTGACGGATATTCGCAGTGATGTTCCTTGGATCTGTTCTTAGAGGTGGTCGAAAATCTCTTAGCGGTTTAGAGGTACGAGGTTGACTCCAATTGAAATTACTTGTTGAAGGTCTGGAACAAAATTTAAAATGTCAGATATGAGAAGCACAGCACAAACTGGTACCATAAAAAGAAAGGCTAACATTATGGGAAACAAAATTATGCTAAAATAGAGGTACTCTAACCAAAATAATGGTATTTTGATGTAAGATACAGATTGATAAACAAATTGACAGTGGTTGAGGCCGCGCTCGTGTGCTTTGCACAAGAATTTGATTCTACTTAGTCTAGGGAAAGTCGACATAAGCACCGCTAAATAAAAGTTCGATCGCTAATTTTCATAAATGTTTACAAACACGGCAGCGCCTGCAGCGCCGGCGCTGGGCCGTGGGAACGAGGGGACGAACGGAACGGAACGAGAGTTCGATCAGTTATCAGTTGGGACGGCGGGCCGACGCGCGAAAACTTGCGCCAATTCAAAAAAGCAGTTCAACTACAGATCTCAAGGATAGCAGTAAGGAATTTTCAGCCTAAAGGAATGAATTTTCGGCCATGCCCCCCCCCCTCTCCCCCTGTTAATCCGGGTTTATCGGTTTACTCCCCACCCCGTTTCCAATCTGCAACTGCAAGACTTGGTGCAGCTGCAGGAAAAGAATTATCACGGAATGCAGGAACATGCAAACTATGATAAGACTGCATGTGCAACATCGCCTCTAGAGAAATACATATCACTGTCGGTCGCAAAGAGAGTACTTCCACGTGACGCAACAGATAGGGTTAGAAGTGAAGGGAGGGTAGGGTAAGAGCAACCCCGTCAAAACATCCCATAGCTTATTGGAAAAATCCTATCATCAATACCGACTTAACGCCCTCAGACGCCCTCCTTCAAAAAAATTCAAAACACATATTTCCAAGGACGTACTATGTCAGAGCTACAACACCATCTAGAAATAGGGGACGAGGGGTGGCCACCTGGGATACCTTCATGGAGGTGTCCACGATCGATGGACACCAGCCCAAACTAGCCCAAACAGCACAAAATAACCGAATTAACATCGCAAGACATTTAGATTCTGCAGTTTCTGACTAGCCCTGAAAGACAAAGGGCAACGAAGTGGAGGAAAACGGCTCGTTAACAAAGTTGCATCGAGCATCGAGCACCACCTACTTGCAAAACGAAGAGGCGTACTGACTTCAGATTCCAAGAAAATGGACATGACACTATGACCGCCGAAACTAATTTCCGAGTTACACATTCATGAGGAACGGTATATTACAATTCATGTGTTTCAAATCAACGCAAGTTTCCACCATAACACAAAGCCTAGGCTATGGGGCACTTTCCCGCGGACGTCAACCTCAACACCTGTTGCGAACAAATTGCTGTTACGATATGAATACTTACTCGGGCCCCCCCATGGTTCCTCCGACCAAAATCCACACCAAAGTCGCTTGACAAAATCAACCACCCAATTTCAAATTAGCTCGACGGCTTGAGACAAAGCATGCAATCTGGCTCGCCGGGAGAACACGCTGGACCACAGGACCACTCAACGCAACACAACACTCAACACTGAACTGCACTCGCCTCATGGAGCGAGTCGCCGGAAGCTGAACGCTGATTGGCGCTGGCCGGTCACGGAGTTGCGAAGCGGACAGATCGCAGAATTTTGGATAGCTTGTAATTTTTAAGTGCCGTAAAAATCAGGAAATTTTCCTTCGACGCGGAAAAATTACCCCCGACTCCAATCCCGTCAACAGAACCATAAACAAAGAAAAGGGGGCGGATGAGGAGCTTGGCCACCCTGCTGCGCGCCCCCTTTCCCCGCCCGTCTCTAGGGGCGAGCCGGATGGGTTGCCTGCTTGGCCGGCGGCGGTCGGCACCTCAATGGACCGAGCGGGCAAAGAGCGAAAATAAAGGACCCCAGTGAGAAAGGGTTTGGGGGTCGATATCGAAACGATAACGTATCGATATTTCATTTTTCACTGGGGACTCTGACTCTATAAAGCAGGGCCATTTTGAGAAATGTTCGATGGGGCATGTTAACCCGACTCTCTCCCTTCAAAAGAAATAATAGTCATAATCGCTGCAACCCGCGCATAGTCTGCTCTGAAACCGACGGCAACCGTGTCTTTTTTCCATCACAAGCATTTTACTTCTTCTCGGTATTCTTCTTTCTTTCCGCTTTACCAAAATGGTCTCTTCAGATCACTTGGCCGGTTAAAATGTCATCGTATACATGTTTCAGGAGGATCGGGTTTGTTACGGGATGGTGGATTTGGGGGAGGGGCGGTTGCTTTGTGTGTGATCGCCCCCACCCTCTGGCGTAGAAAGGATTTTTCCAGTTCATTCGCCGTAGAACGGGCTAATGTCGACCGCCCTTTCGGCAGTGCAGTAAAGGGCAATTGAAGTTTTCGGTTTGGGGGTGGGGGTTGGGTGGAGGATTGGTCAGGCCTAAGAAGCCGCCTGGGAGGTACGCAATTCACTGCACAAAAGCCATGTATGGAGGCAGAGGCAACCCATAGAACTTCCCCATCCCCATCCCCCCGTCAGCCGAACCTAAAACCTCGCCTGGTGTAAAAGATTGGTCCATTATTACCCCCACTTAGCCAAATTAGAATGTATTACACCCCCAAAGAAAAAAAAACCACTGCAAAAACCAAGGGAAGGCCACTAGACGAAAGTAATTTGAACCGTCCTGCTTCTGTTTGAATTGTTGAGTGAATGGTCGACGGACTAGGAAGGGAAACGCACTTATCAGTCAAAAATCTATATTTTCATTATTATTTTAACAGTTAACACAAACACTTCAAAAATATTTCATGAAAAAACAAAAATCAATAAGCAAATAAGTCACAGACAAAAAGTCACAATAAATAACAAGAAACTATTAACATCATAACATCGTAAACAAATTATGTCTTTTGTACTGCAGCGGGTCAAAAGAATAATAATTTCAATGAACAAGTCTTCGTTATCCGTTGGTTATCTTAAAAGATATCCTGGATATTCCACATCTAATATCAGTAGATAGTCACAAAACAGTCTCAGAGGTAACTTATGCACTCTAGTCAACACCTTATTTACTCAGCGTGGTCATTCCCTTCCCCTTCACTCCAATGATTGTGAAGTCGGGACTTGGCGGGAACGGACGTAAGATGTGAGAAATCGACGTGCCGGTCACGCGCAGGTCACGCGCAGGTCACGCGCAGGTCACGCGCAGGTCACGCGAGCGTGTGCCAGATGGAGACGACCCGCCGCGGTCGCTGCTCGATGGCTCTCCAGTGCTCGCGGCCCCGGTCGCTGGTCACCCTGCTGCCAATGGCCACGGCGCCGACCACGCGGTCTCGGGGACGCCGGCCCCCTGGTACCCTCTCGTCGCCATCCTGCTGCGGACAGAGAGTTGTAAGTCAGTGATGTGCAGCCGACTGATTCAGAGGATCGCTCTCCTCGCTCTGTCTCTCTCGCACGCATGGAGCGCGCAGTATGGGTGCGAGAGAGACAGAACGAGGAGAGCGATCCTCTGAATCAGTCGGCTGGGCCGGCGGGGCGGCGGCAACTTACCGGTAGCCTATGGCACAGCGCCACGACCAGGGAGAGCGTGCCGAGCTGGGCGGGGGTGAGCTTCAGCGACAGCGTCTCGCAGAACTCCGGGTTGGGCGACGGCGCCTGCGGGTCGGTGCGGGCCGAGTCCACGCGCCGGCCACTGCCCACGTGCACCAGCGTGGCGCGCACGTAGGGACCTGGGGGCAGAAGACAAGTCAAGAGTCAGGCGCGTGAAGGAACAGCCACCAGGAGGCCTGTGGGGGCCTCTAGGGGCATCTAGCGGCGTCTAGGGGTCTCTAGGGGCCTTTAGGGTCCTTTGGGGGCGCCCGAGGGCACCAGTGACTCACGGAAGTGCTGCGGCCCGGGCACCACGTGCTCCAGGCGCACGCGGGTGGCCTTGATGACGCTCACGTTGAGGCGCTGCGCCGTGGGCAGGTAGCTCAGGCCGAACAGCAGCATGGCGCGCTCCTCGGGGCGGGGCGCGAGCGGCACGGTCAGCTGCACGGGCTCGTCCAGCACCTGTTTGAGAAGCACCTCGCCGCGGCACAGCTCCGAGGCGCCGCGCAGCCGGCAGTCGTCCACCACGGCCACCTGCAGCACCCAGTCGCGGACGTCGGCCCGCCGCGCCTCCACGGCGAAGTCCTCGTTGTAGCGGGGCTGTCGCGAGTGGCGCACGGCGCGCGTGCGCAGCTGGTGCAGCTGCCCCGGGCGGGGCGTCGGGCCTAGAGCCGGGACGCGGGGGTGCAGGATCGCGGGCCAGCGCCACAGGCGGCGGCGCGGCGCCAGGCCCAGCTGCACCGCGGGGTCCGGGCTGGAGCCGTAGTCCCTGGGCGGCAGCCCCCGCGCCTCCAGCACCGTGATGGCCAGCCGCCCCACCGCCGAGCCCGCGCCGTCGTTGCCGAGGTACTGCACCACGAGCACCACGCAGGGCGGCCCGCCCAGGGCGCAGCCAGGACCCGGGGCCTGCGCCGGGGCACGGTCAACCTGGTCGGCGGCGAGCACCCCGCTGGCGTAGCTCTGGAAAAGAAGAGGTTCAACGGCTGGAGAAAGACGTGTGGTCCGGTCTACTTCGGAACATAGACATGGTGAGGCAGCTCCCTCGGCCACCTTTGTCTCTCGACAAAATTCCATTTACGGGGCTGTATTCATCATGACATCCCGGAAGTACAGAGCCCTCCATGATCCATGCCAAAACCACCCCCAGCCCAGCCTGAACAACAAGTCACTTGGTTTTTGGAGACGAGCCTCACCAGGATGGAGCTGGTGTCCGTGCCGTCCGACATGGAGCTGTAGGTCGAGTCCCGGTGCGAGCCGTGCGACAGGCCGTCCGCGTCGCCATCCCCGGACACTGCAATCGATCACAAGCACGTTCAGTTGACGCGCGTCTCGATCACGGTGTAGAGAGATATCTCTCTACACCGTGGTCTCGATAAACTGCCCGCTGCAACCTTCTTGGCCTCGCCGCCGTACTCACGGTTCGTGTCGTACAGGGAGCCGCGCGCCCAGGACCGATACGTCACGTTCTCCAGTTGCAGCTCCTCGTCGATGCTGTGCTTGGGCCTGCCCAACGGTGGCGTCACGTTCTCTGTCGGTTCACAAAAAAAATATTAGGGGTCTTGCACAAACTACGATGTTTTTAGGGGGTGGGTATGTACCACTTTAAAGACAGTACTTTATCAAGTCGATGACTGTATCGGGTGGCTGATTAACCCCGCGCACTTCTGTAGCTACACTGTCCCCCGCCCAGCCCAGGAGTGTGGCAGGTGGCGGGTTTGCCTATCGCTCCGTGCCATTGCACCTGACCTGGCACCTTTTACTGGTCGAGCGAGTGTAGGCAACCCGCACGCACGTAGGATTGAGCGGTACAGCATAACTACAGAGGTGAGCGGGGTGAATCAGCCAAGAGCCATGTATTTAGGGGGTCTACGACAGATGTATATCCGTGAGTATCATTTTTAGCAGATGATACATTTGGTACTGAAACTTTGAACATTTCACATAACTAAAATTAATAAGAATGATTTGTCAAATGTGTCATTGCTTGTACTCTCATGCAGCACCGTGCAGAGCAAGTCAGAAAGCGTGACGTCACCAGTAGAAGATAGACCGGGGGGCGGCTGGTTGTTGTTTTCCAGGTAAGCTCTATCATGTTTAAAAAAAAAATACTGTTTTATCAACCCAAAACCAAGGAAGCCGGGAAAAAATTACCACACTCTCTAAAACAGAACGTTTTCTGTGCACGGCCCATCACATAATGCCGCCCTAGTGGCAGGCAACTAACTCCCAACACTCCTGCGGCATGTACCCCCCCCCCCCCCGTCCCCTTTTTTTCGCGCGGGTCCAACGCGGTCTGACGCCTGACCCGCGAACTCAACATATTGCAACAGGGGACAAGGCTACCATACTATATGAATGCGGTGGCGACGGGCCGTACAGAAAAGAAGCGGGAGTGGAGAGAAGAGAGGTGTCAAAAAGACTGGTCGAGGCCGCCGCGCCGGCCAGGGCCGGGGCCGGGGCCAGGCGGCCGAGGCCCTGATGCAGAAGTCCCGAGGAAAGCGACATGCAGCGGTACCTACCTGAGTTACGACGCCTCCGGCGGCAGCAGATCCTGGAGATGAGTCCCGGCCGCAGCAGCCAGGTGAGGATGGACATGCCCAGCACCAGGCACACGAGGCCGGCCGCGAGCACGGCGCCGCGCGCCCAGGGCGGCAGCGACACCAGCATCCCTGCGGGGGGGCAGAGAGGACCACGTCAAGGACAATGTGTTGTCGGGGAGGGGGTGGCAGCAGAAAGGGGCGGCAATAAGGGATCCCATTGGGCAAGGGCTTCGTCGGGGAGGGGGTGGCAGAAGAAAGGGGTTGCAAAGGGGAGGGGTATCATTGGGCAGGGCAAGGGCGTTGTCAGGGAGGGGGTGGAAGCAGAGAGGAAGGGGCGGCACTGGGGGAGGGGTGTCATTGGGCAAGGGTGTTGTCGGGGAGGGGGTGGCAGCAGAAAGGGGCGGCAAAGGGGTACGGGGTGTCATTGGTACACCTACGTAATTTGGCCTCGGAGAGCAAGGAGCAGCAGGTGCGGATTGAGACCGGTCAGTGGATAGGGCGGAGGAGCAGCAACTGCCTGTTTCACTTGTGCGCTGAAGGCACTGCATTTTTACTACTGAAAAGGCTTTGTTTCGAATCCCATGGGGGTAGAGCTTTGTACCCCCTCCTCCCCACTCCCCTTTCCTCTCTTTAGTGCAACCACGCCTGCCTGTGGGGCGTCCCGTGAGTAGACTTGCCTGTGTGACTTGCCTGTGTGTGAGCAGCACCTCCCGGGCGTCATCACGAGCCCCGTCACCTCATAGCCGGCGCGCACCACGAGCACTCACCGCCTACGCCTCACCTCCGCGACATGGTGCGCGCGGGACCCACTTCGGCGAGGTGCGCGACGCGACGTCGACGACTGCCGCCCGACGACGGACCCCCTTTGCGGCCCGACCTGCCCAGCAGCGTGTCCAGCTGGCAGCGCGAAGTCAGCGAGAATGTTCCGCCAGCGGCGGCATTTGTGCCGCTGACTAGGGGCGGCCGGCGGGCCGGGCTGGACAGCGGTTAGTGCCCCAGGCGAGGGGCTCACGTCAATGCTCGCTAGTGCGTATGTGTGCGCGCGCACGTGTATGTGTGAGAGAGGAAGCTTTATGGTGACGGTTGTCGCGGTCGGTTGGAGGGACGCGGCCGGACTCTCATTCGTATTAAGAACCACGCCCTCCTCCTCCTCCTCTCCACAAGTGCGCGGCGGGCGCACACCTGTGTCACTTATACTGTATTGTTCCCCCGGGTGTCGTCACCTGAATACAAACAACGCTATAGGACCGCGAGCATATAGGGCTGTCAAAAGAAGTCGTGTCCCTTTTTTGTTGTTTGAAAATAAAAGGGGGAGGGGGGTAGACGAAGTTCAGGCAGCTGTGACAGGTGGAAGGGGGAAGTAAGGGGGGCGGGGCGAAGGGCAGGGGCACGGCAGTCATGGTGGG